GGGTCTTTCCAAGGACAAAGGTCATGTCCCTTCCTTGGACAGGCTTTGCTCTGAGGTAGAGCTGTGACCCACCCAAGGAGGTGGTGCCTGGGGACCCTGTTCCTAGACTTGGTTTTCTGTGCCACCCTATCCAGGATGGGGGCCCCAAACCGCTCTCATTCCCCCGCCTCCTCCTGGGAGGGCACTAGGATGCTGCCTCTGTCCTGGTGGCAGAAGCCGAGGTTGCCACGGCTTAAGTGGCCTGCTATTTCCTGTGCTTCACACTGGTAAGGGACCGTGGCTTGCAGCCTGAGCCAGATTGATCACACAACCAGCACTGGCTCTTGGGCAGGGCGGGGCCTCACCCAGTACCCACCGGGCCATCCCCTGGGAAGCCTGTCTGGGCAAGGCCAGTTTCTGACAGCCAGTGAAGGAGTGGGCGGGGCCAGTTAAGGGGTGGGCGGGGCCAGTGAATGTGCAGCCTCCCTGCCTCCCTTTCTTTATTGATATAAAATCCACACGACATATAATTCACCTTTTGAGTTGTACAATTCAGTGACATTAGTGCATCCCCATGTTATGTGACCGTTACCACTACCTCGCTCCAAAGCCTCTCCATCACTCAGAACAGCTCCCTGTGCCCACTAGGTAACCCCTCCCCAGGCCTGAAACCCACTTCCTGTTTCGGAGAACTGGGCAGCTGGGGAGCAGGTGAGGGACGCTGCAGCTCTGCCATGGTGCCTGGCTCACAGCCCTCAGCACTGTGTTCTTGGGGCCCACATTGGAGCAGGTGCTGGTCCCCTCCCTGTGCTCCTCAGTACCCTGTGTGTGGTCCACGGGTTGGTCACCCATGCTCTGTCCACTCTTGGCTGCTGCTTTTCTTGTCAGTGAGTGGTGCTGCCCTGGGCATTTGGGCACCCGTGTTCAGTTCTCGTGGGTCTACACCTGCAGACTCCTGATGGCACCGGGGTCCCAGGTGGTATGCTGGGCCTCCTGCCTGCCCCACTCTGAGGCCCCCCAGTGAGGTCCCCGGGGTTTGCAGAGATGGAGGAGCCTGAGGAGTGTGCCCGTGACTGCAGGCTCGAGACCACGCCCGTGCAGGGCACTGGGAGGCGCCCTCTGGGCCTGCTGGCTGTGTCTGGAGCTGGGCCCTCCCGTCTGGGAGCTGGAGCTGGAGCTGGGCTGGACGCCTAAAGCCTTTTGGCACTGATTCCCAGCCACCCCTGCTGCCCTCACTGCCACCTGCCCCTCGACAGCTCCTGCTGGGGAACTAGGGTCTAGGGGTCGAGGGTCACAGCATGGTGGTGCGGCGTGTGTTTCCTCCTCACCTTGCTCACGGTGCTGCCCTGGCCCAGCCCCCCGAGGCTGCTGTGTGCAGTGAATGCTGGGTGTGGGCTCCTGGGGGCCCAGGTGAGTGGACTGGGCCTCTCCTGAGAGTGCAGACAGCAGGTGCTGGCGGCTCTGGCTCCTTGAAGGGACAGGTCCAGGATGGGATGGCGGGGACAAGCTGAGGGCAGAGCAAGGTAGCTCTCACCCTCAGAGTCAGGCAGTGAGGTGTGGGTAGCCCTCAGGAGGGGGCTGTGGTCAGGGATCTGGACTCGAGATGAGGTCTTACCCCCAGGACCTCATGTGCTGCCAGGAGTGCAGAGGCTGTGTTGAGCGGGAGGCGGGCAGGAGGACGGTGGCTCCGCTGGCCAGCCTGTGGGCCCTGCGACCCGTCCTGTCCCACGGAGCCTGAGCAGTGGGAACCTCCAGCTGCGAGCCTCGTCTTCGATCCTCCTGGAGGAGCCTGCCCAGCCTCCTACCCACCCTACCCCATCCACAGTGCCCCTGCGTCTGCCTGGGGTCAGGCACAGGCCAGGCTGGCGCTGCACACCTGGTCCAGCACGATGGTCCTCGTCAACATGGCTCACAGTGACTGGGCTGTGGCCACAGAAGCTTTCCTGAGAAGCCAGGGAGCTGGGCCCTGGGTCCCTTCCTGCACAGACCCCCACCCAGTTTTAGCGAGGTCTGTGAACACATACGAAAGCCCTGAGGCCGAGTTCTGCCGGCCTCTTCCTGCACGGCTGGACACTAATCCGTGTTCTAGCTTCCCCTTCTGACACAACAGCAGACCCGCTTTGAATTTGTGACAATTTAGGATGAAATGGGATTCTCAGAATTCACTAGGGAAAATGATAACACAAAGAAAAAATATAACCAAGGAGACCCCCCCACCTGCTCAGGCTGGGGATCCGGGCCCCATCTTGTGGCCGCACTGGCCCTGGGACTCAGATTCTACAGCCAAGTCCAAGAATCCTTTGGACCCAGCTGGCAGGTCCTCACAGTTCCCGCCTGACCTGACGAGACCCCATCCTGCTGTGCAGTGAGTGTGTGGCAGAGCCAGGAGGGGCGTCCCACTGGGGAGCCCCTGGTGTCTCCACAGTGCCACCCCAGAAACGTCAACTCTGTCACTCCCAGGCTGGAGGCCACTGAGTGTCAGGGACAACCGGACCATCTGCAGAACCTCTCCTTGTGCGGGGTCGGGTGGGAGTTCAGACCTTGCCCGGGAAGGAAGGCCCAGTGCCGTGGGACCAGCAGCCTGCCCTCCACACAGGGGGAGGGTTTCAGGCAGTGCCAGGAGTCCCAGGGTCCGGCTGGGACTGGCAATGTCCAACCGACAGGCACCTGGGAGCCTACCCAGCAGTAGCCAAACAGTTAAAAGAGAAGAAAGGAATCCAGCGAAATCAAGCCGTCAAGTAGTTAATTGACTTTGCCTCAATCAGCCCAATGAATATTCATGAGATGGCTGGTCCTCCCGCAGCCTGGGCGCCTCTTCCTCTGAGCTGACACGCCAGGGCTGCGCCTGCCTCCTCCAGCCTGCAGCCGCCCTGATTGGCTCATCTGTGCTCCTGAAAATGCCATAGCAACCCCTGGCTGGTTGCCTAGCAATTCTCCCCTTTCTTTTCTGTCTCCCCTGAAGCCCAAGCCAGTAATCCATAGGCTAGGGGTGGAAACGTCTTCGCGAGGTGCACAAGTGTGTATAGTGTGTGTGTGTGTGTGTGTGTGTGTGCAAGAGGAGGAAGTCTGATCCCCCTAGGTCCCGGCTTGCCTGCAGGGGTAAGAGATAAGTCACAGCCCTTGGCCACCCATCAGCCGTGAGCCCCAGTAGTCCACCGGGAGCCTGACTGCACTGCCACAGGCCGCAGGTCCCTAGGGCTTGTCTTCAACCCACTGGGTTCCTTGATGGAGAGCAGAGGGAGCCTCAGCGACAGGTACATCCCACATGGAGAACCACATGGGCTCCTGCCATCAGGTGGCTGTGGGGGTTGCAGGGCCCAGATTCCCTGCAGGCCACTTCAGGAGGCTACCATCTAGGGCTTACTGCAGGCCCAGCAGGCTGCCACGTCTATGGAGCTGGGGTGGATGTGGCCAGGTCCAGAAGTCCATGGCCTGGATGAAGCCACCAAGAGGCTGAGGTAGCCAGGGTCTAGCCCAGGAGTACCCGCCCACCTGTCCTATGGCCCTCCCCTCCTGCTTTCCTCTATGTGGACCCTGGAGAGACTGCTCTGCTGTCCTGGGCCAGCCTAGGTGTGGACACAGAAGGTCAGACCCATCATTGGTTGCTGTCAGCATCTGTTTTTTGCCTAGATGAAAGATTTGTGGGGATTTCACACCAGTGAACCGGCAGTGCTGCAGGGGTCAGAGGTGGGAGGGACCTGGCCTGCCTGCTGCCTGCTGAAGCTGACCTGTAGTTTGCTGGTGCGGGGAGATGCTGGTCCTCATGTCTGTGGATGGGTGTGTCCAGGGAGAGGCAGTGGGTCCTGGGTGGGGGCATCCAGGCGGAGGGTTCCTGTCTCCCCTGCCTGGGACCAGCTAGAGAGCGTGATCAGGACAGACAGCTCTGCTCAGGGGTCTGCGGGTGGAAGCTGATAGGGGGTGGGGCGAGGCGGTGGGCCCTCGAGGCAGCCCTGAGGCCTTCTGCTTGGGGTGTGCAGGCCCCTTCGCTTCACTGTGTGTCAGGAGAAGGAGTCAAGGGATGTGGACCAGAGCCACCGCCATGTCCAGCCAGCTCCTGAGACCAGCACTGGACAGGGCTGCAGTCCCGGCGCGCAGAGCACCCACTTCTGCCTCCACTGGGGTAGCACGTGTGCCCGTCTGCCTGCGCAAGGGTGTGTCGACACACGTGTGAGCGTGTGGGTGCACTGTGTTGGGTGAAGACTGCTGTGGGTGCTGTGTCTGGCCGGTGGAAGCTGCCGGGTCGGTGCCGCCTGCCGAGCCCCCAGCTTTGGTTTTCCTGTTAAACACAGCAAACGTGTGTCTCCAATAAAAAGCTACACAGCAACTTAATCTCCGATCGATTTTGAGGAAAGGAAAATAAACCCTGCTCCCTGGGGCACCGGCAGCCTGATAGGCAGTTGTTCTTGATATGGAATGTGGGCAATAGATACATTAAATATAAGTGGAGGTACAGAGGGGATCGATAACCCCCGCTTCCCCCGCGCTAATTGAAAACCGAGTCAAGGTTTGATTAATGGGGAGGCCTCTGGGGCGTCGGAGGCTGGATCTGTTCCTACTGGGACCTGGCCCTCCTGGCAGGAGGCTGCGCTCCCTGACTGGGGCGGCAGGCGGGGGACGGCAGGCGGGAGGGTGTTGGCCCCAGGCCCTGGGAGAAATAGGAGCCCCCACCCTGGGGGGCAGCACTGTGAGGGGTTGGCAGCTCGGCAGGGGTGTGGCTTGAGAAGCCTCAGTGCCAGCCCCACAGCCTTCCCCAGACCTCGGGGTGGAGGTTTGCTGGTTCCTCCTGGGTCCCACCGCTGTGGGCAGGAGTGGAGGAGTTGGCAGGGGCTGGGTGGGAGCTCCCCTGGAGGCACCTTGGTGGTTTTAAGTTCTCTGCCGACTCCTGAGGCGGAGCGTCTCTTCCCGTGTCCACATCTCTGGACCTTCTTTGTGGAAGTGTTTTGAGTCTTCTCTGCCCATTTTAACCTCGGTCATCTGAGCTGTGTGGTTCTGAGGGCATTCTGGGGGCAAGCCCTCAGTCCGTGGGTTCAGAATATCTTCTCACATTCTACGGTTGCCTTTTGATTTCCTTTATTATCTTCCAGAGATGGAGCCCACCTTCTCATCCTCCTCTCTCGCCTTTTCCTGATCTGGAAAGTTCAGGCTGGGTTTGGCATCGGCTGTGGGAGCTTCTGGTGCCTGTGTCAGGCAGAGCAGGGGCCTCCTGGATGGCCACGTGCTGACCTGCCCCGTCCCTGCACCGGGAACTGCAGCTGATGATCGCTGGCTCCTGGGACTGAACCCACAGGGGCCCAGTGTGACTGCAAGGTCTTCACGACTCAAAGCGGGAGGAGGAAGAGAATCGGGCAAGGTGAGAAGGACCTGACGTGCTGGCCCGGGGAGGGAGGAGTGGCCGCAGCCAGGGAACTTCGTGCCTGCAGAAGCCCGAAGCATTGGGAACAAGCGCGGGCCCCCGGGGGAGGCAGCCCCATCAGGCTGGCACTAGCCAGCAAGGCCCGTTTCAGACTTTGGCCTCCAACACTGAGATGATGTGTTGGCCTTGGTGCCATGTCCCAGCAGGGACAGGAACAGACATAGGGCTGTCCTCTGGCTCAGAAGTTCTCTTCTTGCTACAGTGGATTTTCCTGTGGGTCTTCAAGTGCTGTTTCTGCATTTTTTTGTGATGACGTAGAATTCTCCCTCACTTTGTGAATGCGGCTGACGTGTGGGTGGGTTCACAGAGTTCCGCTGGCGCTCGCTCCTGGGTGACTCTCGCCCTCTGCACACCGATTTGCCAACGCGGTTATCTTTTGGCATCTGCTGGCTCCACATCTGTGTGTGCGGCTTTCACAGCCACAGCTGGAAACCTGGGCAGGGAATCGCGTGGCGTCTGTTTGCATGGCGTTCACCCCGTGTCGGGTGCCACGAGGTGTCGAGGAGGGTGTCCGGGTGGTGTGTGCACTGTGCCACCCTGCCTTAGTAGGGGGGACCAGTGTTGGGTCCTGGACCTATCCCCCGACACGGAGGGCTGACTGCATTTTGTGACGGCCGTTCTTGTGGGGAACTTGTTGCATAAGGACCCCGAGTGTCCCTGAGAAGCCTGGAACTTGCTTCCAAGGCCTGCAGAGCCCCCCGGAGCTGGCTGGCCTCTTGTGTGGGTGCGGCACGTGGGGGTTGCAGGCCCACCTTGCTGAGGCCTGTTGCTGTTACAGCTGGACCTGGAGGGCTGTTCTCAAGTCCGGAGCTGTGCTCTCCTCTGCTCAAGCTGCCTCTGACTTGCCCCAGTCTCAGATCTGAACAAGGAGCACCCGGGCCTACCGAGCTCCCGGCGCCAGGGCCAGCTCCCACATGGCTCCAGGTGCCACCTCTCCTGGGGGTGTCCTTGGTGTCTAGGCAGCATGATCAGATGTGCCCAGCCTGTCTTCTTTCCCTGGAGCCCCCAAGGGCCCACCCACTGGGACCTCTGACCTCCCCAAACGTCAGGCTGCCCCTTCAGTCCATCCCATGTGACTGACACTTGACTCACGAATGTCAATTTGCTCCTGGCCACATGCGGCCTTCTCCCCCACATATGCCTGTCTCTTCCTTCTCTCTTAACGGGTGTCTGCCTCTGGATTTAGACCCCCCAGGCCAGGATGACCTCATCCAGGATCCTAACCTAAGTTACATCTGTAAAGACCCTTTCTCCAAGTAAGGACACAGCCTAAGATTCTGGTGGATATGCACCTTGCGGCCAGTGTCTGCCTGGCAGGGATGGGCTAGCACCCAAGTGGTCCTCTGTTGGCTCTGAGGGTGGGGACCCGGCTTGGGTGAGCCTCGCAGGGGTTCCATGAGTGCAGATGTCTGAGGAACGGTCCTGGGGTGGGGCTAGGCCATCCTGCTGGGCTCCAGGGGCAGGGAAGAGCGTGAGGGCACTCGGAGGCCCAGCCAGGGGCTGGCGGCCTCTCTGGGGTCCTAGGGAGTCCCACTCCGTGGTGTCAGGGTGAGTGAGGTAGTGAGGGAGCTGGGGAGCCTGGCCCCATGTCCCCTGTTCTGAGGCACAGAGCCCCCCTAGGTGCTGCAAGGGGCTCAGCAAGTAGACCTCTATAAAGGGCCAGCTGGGCACCTCGCTCCTCTGCTATTATGGAGGCCTGACACCCCTAGCAGTCTTCAGATTGGGCTTGTTGGGGTGCCTGGGAAGGGCCCAGCTGCTTGGGGGTGTCAGGCCCCCCAGTGCCAGGAAAGCTCTGCCTTGGCTTTCCCCAGGGTTTGCAGACCCTTGAGGTCCATGGCAGGCCAGCAGTCACATGGCTCTGTCCTCCTGAAGGGGTGCTTGCAAGGCCTTTGCCACCGAGAGCAGGATTGGAGGAGGAAGCCGTGACAGAGTCCGCACTTCTTGTTTCCTGGGCTCCTGGATGGCAGCATGTGGCCAGGTGAGGTCTGTCCTCAGGCTCCAGCAGGTGCCTGGTCTACGAGCAGGGGAGGCGTCCCTCAGGGGGCAGTGTGTCCTGAGGGGTACCAGCACCACTCTGTGCTTGCCTGGTGGGTCTGAAGGGTCCCACCTATGCGGGGGTCCTGCTCTAGACCCAGAGCCTACCTGCCAGGGGTCCTGAAGATCCTCCTCTGGCATTAGTGCCTCTGGGGCTGGGGCTAGAGCACATCTGCCCCGGAGCTCAGGGCCACTTTTTCCCGCGGGGACCATTGCTCCTGTCACTGCCGTATCAGAGGGTCTGTGTGCAGGGCCCTGTGTGCCTGGAAAGGCACCATGGGGTGGCCAGCACCTGACCAGCACTCCCAACCCCTGTGTGCCCTCCTTCCCAGCCCCTGCCCTCCAGGGAAAGGAGCCTCCTCTGCTGCCTGAGGCCAGCACCCTGACCTGGTAGGCACTGACCGTTGTCCACAGCAGGCGCTCAGAGTCAGGGGTGGAAGAGACTCCTGCACCAGTGTCCTGCTCAGTCCAACCACAGCAGCCCGGGCTGTCCTGACACAGGGCTCTCCAGGATGGAGTCTCCCTCTGCCCACTCGCCGGGTGCCCTCCTGGTGGGAGCAGGCTGTTTGCTCCTTTCTCAGTTTTCTTATCACAGCAGCCTCCAATGGGTCCCACGGGCGGGGTCAGGTATTTTCGGGTCACCCCACGGTCAGGTGGTAGCAGCAGCCATCCAGTTCTTACAAGGGGCTGGGGCCCAGCTCCCCAGGAGCATTTCTGAAGCTCATGGACATCGTGGTGCTGCGGCAGGGCCCAGGGTTGCTCCCTGGTGCACAAGGGGTCGTGTCAGCAGCGAGCCCTTGGGGGTCTCACAGCCCACCCTGCTCTTGGGAGTGGACTGCTCCCCTGGGCAGGAAGACACCGCCTCTCAGGCCCGGCTGTGGTAGCTGCTTTCACACGCTGATTCCTGGGGATGGCACCCAAGTGGACTTGCTCTGGGCAGCTGAGCCTCCCCACACACCACTGCTGTGAAATCTGGGTTGTCCTGGCTTCCTGTCTCAGGAGCCAACTGCCTGACGGGTGGGCCTGGTGGGAGGTGCTCTGGGGCTGTGGAAGGACACTGGCTCTCCAGCTGGTACCTGGAGCAGAGGTATGTGGTGGCTGTAGCCCCGGGGTGTCCAGCAGGGCACCCAGGGCCCACAGGCCTGTCCTGCTCAGGACAGCTCCAGGGCTATAGCACATTCCAGCCTGAATCCAGAGTCCCCATGCGCCATGGGCAGCCTGCCAGCCTGGTGCGGCAGGCCTTCTGCCAGCAGCTGTGGCCAGGCAAGTGAGGGGTGGACGTGTGTCCACAGCCCTGGCCACTGTCCCTAGGGGATTAATCCTCACTTAACGTTTCTGCTCCTGGGGCCGGCACTTGGCCTGACCTGGTCACCACCAACAACACTGCAGGCAGGCTTATCCTGAGCAGTTAATCCAGCTCAGGGAGGAATTAGCAGGGACATCCCTTGGGAAAGGGTGTTCAGGGTCAGGGGGGACTAGGCCCGGCTTACCTGTAAATAGGGCCAAGGGCTTTTATGGGAGGGAAGAGAACCTGTTTTAGGGGGTAAGTGGGGGCCCTAGGGGGGCTGGAGAGATTTTGTTGAATGGTGGACATACAGCTTGGCCAGGAAAAGGCCCCGGGGGAGGGAGGACAGGGAGTGGGTCCTGCCTGGGAAGCAGGGTGGGGCGCACAGATTTGGAATGGGCTGAGGCTGCAGTTCTCAGCTAAAGCCAGTGGATACCCTAGGGTCTTTCCCAAGCCTGGGGGCTACATCAGGGCAGGGGGGCCAAGAAAGTGGGCCGAGGGGTGGACGTTGGGTGGGCAGGTGGCAGGGGAGTAAGGCTCTGCTCCCCAGGAGCCTGTAAGCAGGGCAGAGCCCCGCCGCCAAGGTCCACAGGGCCCACAGACAGGCCTTCTGTAGGCACGACTGCATCCAGAGCGGCCTTGGGGTCGAGGCCACAATAACCTACTTTTGCTGTCCCTGGATGGACACTCTTGGCAGGGCTGGTCAGTGGTGTCCCAGCTCTTCTCTCCCTGCAGGTACCTCAGCTTGGCATGGGTGGAATGGCCCCAAGGGGCCCTTTGGCCTGTTACCAAATGCAAAAGAGACAGCTCTGGCGCAGGGCCTGGGGCCCTGAGAGACCCTGGCTGATGGGCAGAGCCCAGAATAAAGGGCTGCCGGAGACCAGAGCCCCCCACTCCCTGAGCCCCCGACGCTGACATCCCTCAGCACCTGCCCTGAGCTCCAGTCCCCTCTGCCCCTCTCTGCCTCAGCCCATTGCTGCCAGGCCCCAGGGCACCCGTGGCCTGGGGTAGAGGGGAGGTTCTGTTTGGGGACCTTGGCTGTGCTGAGCCTGGAACCGGGCGTTGTTTCTGAGACCCTGGGGTCACCTTCAGTCTCATGGGGACTGGGAAGGTGAAATGGCTCTTCTGCCATTTGTGCCTTTGTCCCTGTGCCTTGTTTGTGACCCAGAGAGCATGTCCTTGTGGATCACAGGCCTGATACGGGTAGAACCAGGCAAGCCGCAGAGAGCAGGATGGGAGAGAGGGAGGGGGCCTGGGCCACCCCACGCACCCCACCAGCTGGCCATTCAGCTCCCTGCCCCCCTGGCTCCTCCCTGGCTCCTCCCACCTGCCTCTCGTGCGAGGTGGGTGCGGGCAGAGTGTGAAGGTCCCCTCCTCCTGGTGGTTTGGGGAACCTTGAACCAGGCACAGGGTTCAAGCCGTCTTGTCTAGTGCTGTGGCTTCTGGCCGTGCCTTTGCTGACGTCAGGCTGCCTTGTCCCCTGTCTGGTTAGTTAGGCTTCGACTTAAAACCCAGGCTCTTCAGATGCTGCACAAGAGACCTGCGAGCCGTGTGGCCCCTCTCCTGCGGATGTGGCGGCAGGAGCTGCTCCCCCACTGCTGGGCACCTTCGGAGCGAATGGCCACCCCTCCCAGCCCGCCCGCCTTTATTACTGTGTTAATTTGGAAAACAGGTCATTGGAAATTAAATTGCTCAAAATAGGCCACCAATTATAACTCTGCGTCCTGTTGAAATGGGAGCGTCTGCGATCTCTATCAGTTTATTGTAACTGAAGGCAAAATGCTCACAACTGAATTATTGCCAGTCTGTGTTTCATCTCGAGGCCACCCCCTGGGACGGAGACCCTGCCCTCTTGGCATCTTGGCGTGGAAACTGATGACGGCTTGGTGCTTGAGCCCTGCAGGACAGGTGTGGCTGAGGGGGGACGAAGTGTCAGACCATCAACAAAGACAGGAAAATGTTCCATTCATCAGCAAACTAGGATCTTGGCCAGAGTCTGTTCTGAGTGTGGCCCCTGCACCAAGGGCCACCCTAACGTGGCCCTGTTCATTGGTCAAAGTGGCTCTGAGAAGACCGTGGAGGCACCAGAGCACAACCAGGAGACAGGAGCAGACACACAGATGCGCCCGCCACCACGCCCTGGTCTTCACACCACTGGAGGGCGTCACAGTGCTTCTGAGTGGGCTCTCTGCTCCTGTGAAATGAGTCCTCACTTCCAAGGAGGAGGCCGAGGCACAGAGAGGCTTCGGAACTCGCCCAGGGTCACACAGCGTGTGTGGAGCTAGATGGACCCTGGCTTTCTGGCTCCAGAGTCTGTGCCTCGAGCCCTCACCGTCATTCAAAAGGGTCCTTTCCCCAAAGGGCAGATTTCGTTCATTCCCCGAGGGGGCCACACGGGAGTTGTGGGCCCACCTCAGCCCACCTAAGCCACCCTGACAGGTGACTTTCATTCTCCCTAGGAGACAGGGCTATCTTGGAAATGCACTTTCCTGAGGTCCTGGACACTGTGGAGGGTGTCCTCTCCAAGAGGCTGAGCCCAGAACCCGCAAGGTCACTGCACATAGCACAGTGACAGAGGATTCGGGGGCCAATGTCTCGGGAAGCAGAGGACAGGCCCCAGGCTGGTCACTGGGTCTGGTGGCCGGCCCTTCACTGGCCTGCGGGGTGCTTGTCTTCTCTCAGGCCTCTGAGGACACAGGCAGGCGTGGGGGTGGTGGCTGTGCCCGTGTGGCCCTCGTGGCCATCCTGCCTGGGGACCGCCACCCCCCTGTGCCAGCACTACACTCAGCCCTCGTCCTCTTCTGTGTCAGAACTGCCTTCAGGGCTATGTCCTGAGAGTGGCCTGCAGCTCCGGAAGACCCTGAATGGCCCCCCATGCTGAGAGGGGCCTGTGGGTCCCAGCTGGGACATGCTTGCCCTGGGACCGAGCTAGGACTCATCTTTTTATTTGTCATTCATTTTAGCTTTTATGATGCTGGGCATCAGAGCCAGGACCTTGGAGCGCTGGGCATGCTCTATGCTGAGTGGCCCCCAGTCCCCCCACCCCCATTTAGAGCCCGTGGGGAAAGGGCCTTGAGCCAGGTGGCTGGGTTCCAATTCAAGCTCCTGCATACTGCTGTGTGACCCTGGGTGAGCTCCTTGGCCTCTCTGGGCCCCAGTCTCAGCTGCGTGCTTCCTGCAGAGTGGTGGTGTTTTCCTGGAGGTGCACAATGCGCAGACCTGCCCTGGCTGCTTGCCATGCCCACTGCGGAGCTGGGTGTCCAGGGGGCCTTTGGCACAAGGTCCCTGCAGCCAGTCTGACTGACCCTGCCACTATTGCTAGGGTTGCTGCAAAGTCACCTCGATGCACTTCACCTTGACCACGAGGACACTCACGTCGGGCCCTCTGCTGGCAGGGTCACTGTTTTTACTGCGATTTACCTGCCCTGCTGCGGTCCCAGTTAAAAGCATTCTAGACGTGACTGTCCCCCTCCACGTGCCCCGAGGTGGGTGGCTGGAGGCATGGGCCGGCTGCCAGGCGGTATGCTCAGCGCACCCGGCTCCCTGGGCTCGTGCTGGGTGCAGACATGCAGGGACGCTCCTCAGGGCATGTTCCTTCCGGCCACCAGGGCCGGCACCCAGCTCTTCTCCCAGGGTTTCCTGCTGGGTTTCCCGTGTCCAGTTAATGTGTTGGCGGTGGGCCTGGCTTTGGAGGTCTTCCCAGGCAGCCCCTGGGCCTCTGAGCGGGCGAAGGTGGCTCTTCTTCTCTGGCCTCTCCTTGCACCCCATCGGGGCCGAGTCTGAGGTGGTTCAGGCAAAGCCCAGGAGCCCAGGAGCCGCAGACCCCGGGTGCTGTGGCTGGCCTCTGTCCCTGGAGGACCTGCCTGGAGCCTGCACATGCAGATCCCAGGCGCCTCCCAGCCGGCCAGGGGCTGTGCTGTGGTCACGCACACCCAGATGGCCACACAGCATGTGTCCTGCTGGCCTCCCTGTCCAGGCTGCTGGACTTAGAGTGGCCTTGACCCCTGCTCCAAGGAGGTGATCAGAGCCCTCAGCAAATGGCTGAAGCTCTGTCCCCATCCTGAGTCTCGTCTGGGCCTGGGCAGGGCCAACTCAGTCTTGAGTGCCTTTCTGCAGGGCAAGACCCCTAGCCTGGGGGTGGACACAAAGGTCCTGACAAGTGGGAGAGACTTTGAGAACCATGCTCCTGTTGGGCAGCTAGTGTGGGCAGCCCGAGGGAGTGGTCCTCACGGCTTCAGGGCCATTTTTGAGAAACATCTCCCAACTCTGAGGTCATGACACCCAGTTGGCCTGTCTCAGCTGGCCTCCCAGCCCCGTGTGGTGTCCAGGTTGTGAGTTCTGGGCAGAGCGGGGCTGGACATCTCCATGTTCACCGAGCTGCTGCCCAGGACCTGGAAGAGAGCAGGCCAGTTGACCAGTCAACATAGCAGAGGTGTCCTGGGGCTGCTGAAGGGAGGACCTCAACTGGGTCCTCCAACCACAGAACCTGATTCACAGCTCTGGCGGGCAGGAGCCTGAGAGTGAGGTGTTGGAGGTCCCTCGCTCTGAAGGCGCCAGAGGGTCCTTCCCATCACTTGCACATTCTGGTGGCTCTTGGTGTCCTTGGCTGGTGGCTGTATCCCTCCAGCCTCTGCCTTGTGTACATGGCCACCTCTTGGGAGTCTCAAGTCTCCCTCTCCTTAGAGGGACACCAGTCGTTGATTTGGGGCCTATGCTAATCCAGAGGGACCGTGTCCTGACATCTGCTAAGACCCTGTTTCCAATCAGTGTCCCATTACAGGAACGGGGTAGGTTGGGGCAGGGTCCACCCTCTGCAGGCCAAGGAGCCCTCGCCCCTCCTGCTGGTCCATCCTTCTCACACGTCCCTCCCTCTCCAATCCTGAGGGAGTCTCTTTATTTTCACCTTTTTGTTGCAAAATTCTATTTTTTGCCTGGCCTGGTCTGTTCTCTGCATGATCAGGAGGGAAGGCTGAAAAGCCACCTCTGCTCCCGGCCACGGCTCTGGGCCCAGTCCATTCTCTCCTTAGTGCCAAGTTGGGCTGGCGGGCAGGTGGGAGTGGAACTGACCACACACTCGTGCCTTGCCCGGCCTGACCCCAGGATCAGCTGCCAGGTGCCGCAGCCGCTCTGCCCTGCCTCCACGGAGTCGAGAGCCCAGACGAGAGGCGTGCCCCTGGCTCCTGGGTTGCTGGAGTGCTGCTGGAGGAACAGCGAGACCAAACCCGCGGCAGTGCTGGGCTCTGCCCGTCAGGTTCCCACGCAGGGCGTCTGCTGCCACCGCGGATGCCCACAGACACTGGAGCTGTCACCTCCACCTGGGCCGTGAGTTCCCAGAAAAGCCCAGGGACTAGGTCCACCTTGTGCTCAGGCACAGGCATCAGGCTGGGTCCAAAACCCAAGGTGCCTTCAAGGGGGTGGGCACGGGGCCTCACTTGTCAGTGAGGAGACCCAGGGGGCAGAGTAACAGTGCGCCCAGGCCCCGGCACGTGACATTGCAGTCTTGCCGCAGCTTCCACTTCCGGCCACTCCCACAAAAAGGGACAAACCCCAGAGCAACGTCTTACAGGCATCAGCTGCAGAGTCAGACCAGAGAGAAGGGAGTCCCGGGAGCTGGGCTACCTGCTTGGTGGGCCTCCAGGGGCGGACGCCAGGCGGCCGAGTAGCACCCCGAGGGCACATTGGGCCGAGAAGGCAGGGAGCGGGAAGGGACACGGGGAGGCTTGGTGTCCCGGGACCTCTCCCAGAGACCGGGGATCCTACTTACCATGACTGTCACGAGGAGAAAGGAGGCAGAGAGCCCCTGCTGAAGGGAAGGGCCCCTGTGAAACCCCCTGCACAGCAGGCCCCGGTCACAGCTTCCCAGGAGGCCTGCTGGACACCCTCGCCCTCGACCCAGCAGAGGCAGCCAGGGACACGCACGCACAGCCACGGCCGGAGCCCCATGCCAGAGCCGACAGACAGTCGAGGTGGCAGAACGGCAGACCAGGGTTCTTTAGGCACAGAGAGGGGTCAAACCGCAGTGACAGAAGGGACTGCCCCACCCCAGGGAATGCGTTTTGCCACGCTGACGGGGGGGGGGGGGGGGGAAGAAACCCATGCCGTCACACAGACACACAAGATCACCAGATTCACATCCACTGGGACAAACTCCGCCACCTGGAAGTCTGCACAGAGAGGTCTGCACAGAGGCTTTGCTCTCCCCTGGGACCCTGGAGCAGGCAAGGACACTTCCTGCCCTCCAGGAGGGACTCCCACACTGGTGAGGGGACGGTCACAATGTCTACAACCCTGTCAACACCACCACCAAGTCCAGCACTGGAGAAGTGTGTGCGGAGTCCGGGCCGACGGGGGGCGGTGCCCAGGCTGACGGTCACTGCTGAGGTCAGAACAGGGACGGGCGGCCCGGTTAGAAGCATCAGCACTCAGACGCTCCACAGCAAAGCCGCACGCTGCTCGGCAAGCCACCTGAGCAGGAGTGTGTCGCGTTCCTGCAGCGCAGTCGGCAAGAGGACGGACGGGGGACCCACGGCCCAGGGCCACTAAGTGGTGTGATCGATTGAAAGAGGCCAGCTTCTTATGGGATAAAGCAGGTGCCTCTCCTGTGCTCCCGCTGTCCACTCCAGGCGTTCAGCCG